CTGTATATGGTTTCGATGTTTCACTTGTCCAAGCGAACAAAACTCACTGGTATCTCTCCTGATGGTCTAGCGTTTCATCTTGCGGGGGTGACTTTGTTGTCGAACTGCAAAGGACAGAACAAGAAGAAATTTATCCACCAGTAGTGTCTCCCTGCTGAAAAGGTGTTTGACATTTCCGGCCCCAAATGACTAAGTGTAAGCTCTGCCAAAGGGGTCAGTTGATTCAGGCGCTAGGTTCCCTAATTCAATAAGTCAGCGCCTGTGATGAAAGCTTGGGAGGTTCTGTCAAGGCTGCTAAGTCTAGGGTAACTATTGCTTGTGCGGCATGCAAAAAAGAAGAAAAGCCTGAACACTATCACATCTCCGGCGTCTGATGCTATCAAGACTACAGCCGGGTTGTCCAAGATGATATGGATTTCGGACTAAAAGGACACGTCAACGATTCGATTTGCTATGAAGACTGTATCATGCTCTGCACCTACTACACTTACGCCAGAGCAGCTTCTACCCATGCCGATCTTCACGTCCTTCTCAATGCTGCAGAGCGCATCATACCACGTAATCGCCTTGTAAGAAACAAAGTTCAGGAAGATGGACGTGAGGCAGCTGAATGAGCACATTCTTCATTCGTGGTGAAAAACTTCCATCACGAAACGAGACGTTGGATTTGTTATACGCACATCTGTTGTCCATCTTGTCGATTCGCATGAGATCTATCGCCGCGCCTGGCTAATTCGACTCCGTCTTCTGCATCAGAAACCATCACTATCATCTAATGCAAATCAGCAGCTGATGGCTCAGAATTATAGCTTTCAATGAGGATTTGGAGGAAGTTATCCGCAAAGAGAATGCCTTCTATAATTTCGTCGTAGGGGACTTCAATGCAAAAATCGCGATGCCAGAAGACGAAAAGCGTAGGATTGGGAGATTTTGATGAGGACTTCGGAATTAGAATGGTAACTTAGGCTCTTATCCGCCGCACGACTTTTTCATGGCAACTCCATCCTTATGAAGGAAGAAGACCAGTGATAGACAAAGGAGTCACCCAAACGTATGACTCATGCGGAAATCGATCACATTCTCACCAATCGAAGATGGTGCTCACTCTCTCAGCGGTACCACCCTTCAGCAAAGATTCAAATCACCACCTCCTTCGAGTATTGCGATTCAGGCGAGAGGAGAAAAAAATTCTGTCACCGTTGGAGGAGGAGCGAAGTCGTATAGGAAGGCGTCACAATGGAGGAGTTCTGACCACTTGTTTGGCCCGTCGAGAAGGACCCAAAGAAGGATCCAACTTGCTCCAAAAGACTGAGAGCCTGAAGTGCCCCGATGCCTCGAACAAGGAACTTGGAACGTTTTTCGAAAGCCATCAAGGATCTGCTTGAGAGGATTAGAGCTAGAGACTAGTGCTGGATCCGACTGCATCACCATGCGAGCGACTGGTAGCCAACAATTGCAGAACAGCTCTGCAAGAAAATCTTCGAAAGTACAGGCAATCGAAACTTTTGGAAGCAGCACAAAGAAGGAAAAATCCGAAGATGTAGTACAGGGATTTTTCCAGTACCGTATTCCGCTGATAACATCATTAAACGAAGACGTGACCCATGCATCTTCCCGACAGAAGATGGAATCGACACGGATTTTACAGAGGTCCCGAAGACTTGCCGCTTACACCCGGAGGTAGATTG